CTTGTTTTGAAATTCAATATCACAGTTTTTATTGATGTTTTCTCTTTAAAATAAAAATAATTTTTAAAAAATCATGATTTGAAGAACGATATTTTTTAAATGGACTGTAGTCTACCTCTGAGTCTCTTCCATCCCCAAATGAACTGAGATAACTTTATCCTATCCTATCTCCGCATAAGATACAAAGGGAAACTCTAATGGAAAATCATGCAACATTTAGAGCCTCAAATCATCCCTAATCTTTTACAAAGGCAATATCAGACACACAGTCCAAAATATACAGGCATACCAAATGACACAAACTGATTGAAAACCAAGAAAAATAGAACTTAAGTGGAAGCACGAGAGTATTGGAATTATCACAAATGAATTCAACCTGTGATTAATGCACTCAAAAAGTGAAAAAGACAAGATAGATGAATTTAATAGAAAATTTAAAACCTTAAAATATTCAAATAGAAAGCTTTGATGTAGTAAAAATATCAAAATTAATAATTTAGTCAAGGAATGACACAGCCAAGGGGAATATTATTGAACTGGTATATAAAACAAAAATGACATTAAAATATAAATCTAAATATAATAACTACATTTAACTTCATTAACATATATAGATCACTATGCCAAATAATAACAAAGTACATGTTATTCTCAATTGCACATGGAAAATTCCGTAGTCAGAATAAATCAAACCAGCAAAATTCCAAGTGCTGGAGTCATGTGAGTAGAGACATGTTTTTCTGATTACAGTGCAATTCTGTGCAGTATCACACAGTGGCATACTACAGTGATGAAAATAAATGGACTCTAAACAACTAATATAATAAAGATAATGCTGAAGGAAACATTTTAGACCCAGTGGCATACATATAGCTTTCAAAAGACAGTAAAACTATTCCATAGTTAGAAATCAGGATAGTGGATATCTTTAGGGAAAATACTGAAGAAAGAGTTGGGAGAGGGACAGAGGAATTTCTGGGATGCTAACATCATTCTACTGTTGAAGAACGTAGTATTCCTGAGTCTCTCTGTGACGTTACGTTGTTGCATTCTTATGTATCACTCATATCTGGTAATCTAGTATTTTACATTTACACTTTACATAATATAAAACATTTATATTTTGATCTTTAATAAAAACAGTAATAATGCACTTATGTTTATGAGTTACATGGACTAATTCTCAAAATTGCTTTAGTGAAAATTCATTGAATTAGCTTGTCACGTATCATCTATAAGAGGTAAACTGTACTGAGTAAATGATAATTTTTATTAAGGACAAATTAGAAAGCAAAAATGTGTTCTGAGGTCCAAAAGAAATAAACTTATGCTTGAAATTCTGTAACATAATAAAGTGTGAGTTTAAATTGCCTTCTAATGACTTCTCTGGATGAAAAATGATGTTAGCGCAATTTAACAAAAAGATATTTCAAGAAACTAACAGTCAAATCTACCCACGAGACAAACCAGTGTGCAGGACTTACCATAACTTGGCCTAACATGTTCCAAGTTATGCTGAAATGGCCAAGGTTGGCATTGTAAAAGTGGCTTACTGCCAGGGATTCACAAATAGCTCTGTAGCTCCTCCAAAACTCTACTGGAGCCAAAGTGCATTTAATTCACTCAGAACCAAAGAATTCTTTCCATTTTAGGTATAAAAGATTAAGTTCTTACATACAACATGTCTTACACATCCTACAGGTAACAATGTACTGAGTGAACAGAGAATAGGCAATGATGAAATACAGGCAGGTTTCAGAATGAACAGCGAGTGTCTTGGGGGAAACCTCAAAGCATGGAGGGAGCACCCAGCAGCAGATGAGTTTTCCACTTCTCTGGCACTGTGTTGAGGACAAATCATGGGATGAGAAGGTAAAAATGTGGTGAAAGTGCACAAATTTCCTGACCTTAAAAAAAAAAAAAAAAAAAAAAAAAGATGGGCCCAGAGCAGTCTCAGCATCGAGAGGCTAAAAGGAAAATTCCACAAACAGTAGGTTCAGAAAACTTTTGTGCAAATGTTGCCCAGAGTCTCTAGATGATGCCCACATTTAGTGTGTACAGACAAGACTACTAGCAGCTGGGCAAAAATAATAAAAATTGAACTTTTTTGGTGCAGTCTGTCTATGGAGAGGAGGTAGAATTTAAGTGTAACCAAATTAATTGCTTGTTAAAAAAAATAAAATCAATACTACTTTTGAGGGAAATGACAACACCAGATCTTCACAGCATAGCATTCACATCATCCAGAATGCAATCCAAAATTGCTGAATTAATGAAAACTCAAAAGTATGGCCCATTCTCAAAGAAAGACATAGTCAACAAAGTTCAATCCCAAATTGACCCAAAAGATACAAAAATAAGATACTTTCCTCTTATCCACAGTTTTGTTTCGCAAATTTTCCGTCACCTACAGTCATTGACAGTTGAAAAATATTAAATAGAAAATGTCTTAAATAAGCAATTTACATGTTTTAAATTGCATGCCATTCTGAGTAGCACAATACAATGTGGCACTGGGCCACTCCACCCCACCAGGGATGGGAATCATCTCTTTTTTCAGTATACTCACCCTGAATATTCAACCTCAAAGTCACTTAAGAGCTATCAGATCAACTGCAGTAATAGTGCAATGCCTGTGTTCAAGTAACTCTTACCCAAAAGCCTGTTATGCAACATCTACAGCATTCACCTCATGTCATTTAAACCGGTGGGCTGTTGTTTTTGTGGTACTTGGAATTGAGATTAGAGCTTTCTCACTGAGCTACACCTTCAGTCTTTTTTTTTAAAGATACGGTTTTGCTAATTGCCCAAGATGGGCTCACATTTGGAATTCTCCTACCTCAGCCTCCCAGAGCACTGGGATTACAGGAATGTGCTACAACATCCAGCAATCTCGTAAAGACTTTATCACGTCACATCAACACATGAAGACGGTGTTCCACATGATTCAAATAACTTTTATTACAGTCTATTGTTATAAATTTTCTATTTTATTATTATAATTGTTAATCTTTTCCTGTGCCTAGCTTCCAAACTAAACTTTGTCATATGTGTACATGTATAGTAAAACAAAAATCTAAATACAGGGTTCAGAACTATCCATACTTTCATATTTCCACCCTCTATTAGAATATATACCTTACAGTTAAGGAGGACAACTATAAAAGACTGTAAAGTGACTTTTATAACTGTGTTCCTTGTAGTTTTTAAAAATGAACTCATAATAAATGGAAAGATACAAATTCTCAACAGGGTAAGAAAAGTCTACCAATAGAAAAGAAGGGAAGGAGAGAGGGAGGGTGAGGGAGGAAATGGAAGGGAGAGGAGGGGAGGGGAAGGGAAGGGAAAGGAAATCAGGCCAGCAAAATGGCAATTCAAAAACTGAAAAGACTACCGAATATATAGGAAGGGCTTAGTAGCACAATAGAGAGTATAAAGGACATCGTATAAAGGACAACTAAAAGAATCTGGCACCAGCGAGTCTGTAACATGAGATGTACTAAATTAATTCCATCTGTAGGGAAATGATCTCAAAGGGAAACGAGTGAAAATCACCAAAAACGGCAAACATCGAGTAATTAATGATTACTTATTTTTCTACACATATACTGTCAGACACTTAGATATAATTACAGAATATTCAAAGTATATTTTATCAAGATCATAATGTAGGGGCTGGAGATTTAGCTCATTGGCATAAGCATCAGCCTGGCAAGTGCAAGATTGTGAGTTCAATCCCTGGTACCAAAAAAAAAAAAAAAAAAAAAAAGATCATAATGTATTCCAACAACCTTATTTTACAGATGTAACATCTGAGGCTCAGACAGGAAGTAAGTTCCTGATCAGGATCTTAAAGTAACCTCACGCCTGCAGTGAAGCCTGGCACTTGTACCCTTCTCTGCTACTTAATCCCTCAGCACCCACTTCAGACCCACTGGGGTACACAGCTCCCCACCGGCATCCTTCTCAGCCTTTGCTTCTCTTTATTAATCTCTGAAATGGGCTTAACAATGTTAACTGCTTGACAAGCTTCTCCTGAATATTTGAAATTGCAGTACATCGAGAATTTTGAATATAGTACATCCTAGTAGATGTGCTATTGCACCACACTATGGCAATGCCTGCAGCTTGCGTTTTCTGATGCCTGCTGCAGCTTCTTGGCATGCAGCAAACGGACAAAATGAAAAATTATTTGAAAGAAAATATGACTGCTATACAGATTTTCCTAAAAATTTTGTTTTAAATTTTCCTCAATTAAAAATATATCCTACAGTTTCCTGTGATTTCTGTTTAACCCATGCACTACTTGCAGGAGGTAATCACAAAGTTTCATTTTTTCTTGCTCCACTGCTCACGAGTGTGAGAGAGTCTGAGTGAAGATAAGAGAAAAAGAACAGGAGCAACTGCTTTGGAATCACCGCAGAGCAGACAGCCATCAGCAACAAAAATAAAACAAGACGAGTATGAATCCAAGATAAACACTAAAGTAAGAAAAAACTTTGGTAAAGAAAGTTGAATTTAGATAACATGGTATTTCAGTAGGCAATTACCGATCACATGAGAAAAACACAATCTTAATATAAAAAAAAACCATTTCACTAAGCAAGAGTTACTAATATCTCATAAATTTTTCTATATCTCTGATTTTTCAAATTTGTCCTTTATAGGACTGTAAGAATGATCCCACATGAATTTACTTAGCAAGAAAACAGAAAACAAAGCTAACACTTATCTCATGCATGAAGATTCTTTTTAAAAATGCATATGCTAAGAAATGAATCCAATTGGAGTTAAGCATGGGGGCAATAATAAATTCATATTTCCCGTGAGACAAGTAAGGAATCTTTGTAGAATAAAAGCATATCAGCAGGCACTTTGGAGAAGGCTGGTGTTTCATTTTACAACAGATCTTTTACATACAAAAGACCAGAACATACAGGCGATCACTCTAACTCTATTTAAAGCCATGCAGGTGTTGCTGACATTGCCAGTCTGCTTACCATTTCTTCGACGTAAGGGTACAGCATATCTCCAAAACATTCTGTAGCTTCGATTGGAAGCTGTGCTGGCAAATTGTCAATGGAACACATCAGAATCCCAGAGCCTTCAACACTAGGAGAAGCAGTACACTTTAGTCAGATGGACAAACACTTATTGTATGCTCTAACTTTGCCTTATGTCAACTCCATTATATTTGCTTCGCTGTTATTTGTAATTTTGTACAAAGGTACACTATATAAGAATAAACACAAAGCTTCTCAAACAAAACCTTTTTCTTCTTCAGTAACTCAACTCCCAATTATATACAAATGTGTGTATTGATTTATTCGAATTTGCATATCATCTTCCTAACAAAATTTTTAATATTTGAGTGTATCTCTCCAAATTTGTATGCTTTCATATAAAAGTAAAATAGTGAGTTCTTTTTATGAATATCTCAAGGTTAAGTACCAGAATAATTGTTCCTCACTTCTCAGCATCTAACAGGTCTAAAAAAACTCACCTGTCATGAATAATATGCTGGTCTGCATCATACATGCAGAAAGGATGGTCTATTGTAGTACATTCAGTCATAAACTCTATAGAGCCTCCTGTGTCAGCTGAAATATCACAGATTGCCACCAGTCTGCAATAACATCAATGCTTAGATAAGAGGACTGAATTCTGAAACTCAACAAGACTAACAATGAATAAAAATGACAAGTGCTCAGAACATTTTCAATGGAGATGACAAATACTTGCTAAGGTCTTGGACTTTCTTCCTTACTGTTCAGTCTTCAGAACACAGGGCTTTTCTGAGATACTCAAAATAAGTTATAGGGTCCACAAGAACAAAGTAAGTAATAGAAAGGAAAGGAAGGATGCAAGAAAGGAGAGGGGAAGAAGGAAAGAAAACAAAGTAGAAAATCCTTTCCCTAAAAAAAATCACAGACAGTAAATTGTTAGTTAATCTGGGCCAGAGAGTGTAGCTCAGTGTTAGAACAGTCACTTAACATGTGTGGGGCTCTTGTTTTGATCCCTAGCACCAAAAATAAAATAAAATAAAATAAAAAAATAAAAAAAGTTAACCCAGTTACCTATTTCCAAACAACATACAAAGCTTCAATTACACACCTCCACTCTGGCTAGTGGAGTGGCCCTCCATCCTTAGTTCTGCATTTGAGGATTCAGCTGAGTGCCAAAAATCTTTTAAAATTGCATCTGCACTTAATATGCAGACTTTTTCCTCCTCATTATTATCTAAACAATATAGTTTAACAATTATCAATGTGACATTAGCATGGCATAAGGTATTATAAATAATCTAGATATGATTTAAAGCATACAAGAGGACATGCATAGGTTATAGGCAATACAATACTAGTTTATATAAATGACTTGAGCATACAGAAATATTGATATCCATCAGAGGTCTTAAAATGATTTCTTGTGGATACAATGAGGTAAGTATACTATATAACTTTGCAAATGATTACACAGAAATGTCTAGCTTTGAAACTCTTCACATTGGTCACAATTTTCCTGTATAATCTCCAGTAAGCACCCATCTACATAAATGTACACTGTCCCACTGGGTGGATTCAGCTGTACACACACTTGTGTTCTCACTCTCCCCACTCCTCCCTTTCAATGCTTTGCTAAGACTAGTGTGTCGGCCCCCAGGCAGGTATTTTTGAAGACAATTATCTATTCATGTTATGGTGAGGGGGGTGCCCCGTTAAATGACTGATAAAGTGCGCTCAGAATTGTTTCTTTATTTTAGATATGTCCCTCCAGAGAAACTGTCAAGGAACCAGCCCAAATTACCAAGTCATACTGACCAAAGCTTTTTCGGTGACTAGATTAAACTTTGCTCATTATATACTAAATTTTCTACCCACAGGCATTCCCATGCGTCTTATTTTGAACATGAGGTATAAGAAGAAGCATGACTTTGAACTGAGTATTCCTGTTCATATGATTCCAAGTTTTTCCTGTGTGAATGAATGTTTCCCCCAACAAAAGCACTTGTGTGTCTTTGCTCAGAGTGACACTGTTTTAGGAATCATTCCATTTGCTCTTCTTATTTGCTGTAAGAGGCAAATCTTTCTTGGCTCTTTGGTCCTGGTTATCGCTGTCAGCTTAGCATTCTTAATGTTTAGTTACAAGCACTTCTACTTTCTTCTAAGCTCCTGTACCACCACTGCTCCCAGAATTGCCTTTGCATAAGCTCAATGTCAGCTATATGTCTGAGGGCAGCAAACATATCTCTATCCTTTAGCTTAGAATAGTGCCATGCAGACAAAGCATTGCATGAGTATTTACTGATTAAACAATTATTCAATACAGTGAATATATGACTGATTATTCTATATTGGGATATAAACCATGCTATATGGGGAAATATACTAGCTGCTTGTGGCCAAAATGAACAGGGACTCTAACTAAACATACTGTACATTAAGGGATATTTTATGCTTGTTTGTTTGTTTTGCTTTGTTTTTTGTACCAGGGAATGAACTCACAACCTTGTGCTTGCCAGGCAGCCACTAGTGCCACTAAGTTAAATCCCCGGACCACATATTAAGTTCTAATAAGAAAGAAGAATGATAAATAGAGGAAAATGAATAATCACAAACTGACATAAAACACTGTAACAAACTAGAGAAACTGGACTGGGAAAGTAAGAGAAGACTTCTCTCGGGAGGTTGTTTTGGGGCTCCATATGAAGTCATAGAAATCAGAAGAGGATTTCAAGAAAGAGTTGTCAAATGTTCAGATGTTGCCAACTGGTTGATTCAGACCATCATTAACAATCCAATTATCTGATTTGTAGGAACATTATATTCCATGATCCCCCTAACACTAGTGTGAAAACTGCCATCAGGGTTGAAGGAAATCTCTTACTTGTGTGGTAATTCAGGGCAGCCTTCAATAGCAGTCACTGAGGACTTGACTGGAGCCAGGAGACTTTGAGCATCCTGGCGGGTTAGCAGGCGAGGGGTATTTTGCTCCCAGTAGATTCCATTAATTAAACAGGTGATATAGGGTGCAATCTGTAAAACAAATTCCACATTCATCAAAATGAGAGGCACCCATACTCTAGTTTCTCTTCAGATTGTATAAATCTTTTGCCTTTTTTAAAATGAGAGATACCTTACTTCATGACAGTGTGCTGAAAGCTATCCATAAAGTCCATAAATAACAACTATTTTTACTTTTAGTAAGTGTTTCTATTGTCCAGCTCAGTGGCCATCTTTTGAGCCAGAAGTAACCCACTGAGGTGGCTGTGTAGAAGTACCCCATAATGGGGAAATACATGAACATAACAAATATGTTAACATTGTTGTTCTATAATACAATGTACAGCAAAGAAAAAGAAAAATTGATAGTCTTCCTAAAATTGAGACTCTTCCAGCTCAAATACCAGGAATATGTGACCTAAATCATGCCATCTCAGTTTTTCTGAGCTCTGCTTTTTTTTTACTTGCCAGAGAGGAATAATGCAATAATGCATTCGTCAAAAAAAATGCTGTGAAGACTAAATCAGATAACATCTATATGCTCTATGGAAAAATATGCTATATACAAGCATACATGGTAATTAGGTAATTAGTTTTTAAATGTGTCTAATGACCAATACATCTGTGATTGGGATAAGAGAAGAAATAGAAATCACTAGATTCAAATTTTTCAACTTAAAATTAACTTCATAATTTCTGTTCCTCAAGTATCTCAAGTATTTTCAAGCTAAATGTTAACAGTTCTCTATAATATGCTGCATTAGCTAAATTTCATGTCAAAGTCTAAAAGTGCTACACTGTTGCATAATTAACAGACACAGGCATACAAGTAAATTGCACTGCTTAGAAAATAAGGCCAGTATATTCTCATTAGAAGGACTCAGATTATAAGTAGCTCTTTTTTTAAGTACAGTGAGGATTAGTCTGTGCCTATGTGATGATACAATTTCACCCAGGCTCCTGTATGCAAAATGTGTTTTTCAAAATGGCTACTGCTATGGTTTGGATGTTGAAGCCTTCCCCACCCCATGCCCACGTGTCAAAGGCTTGATTCCCTTCTGTGACATTAGTTGGAAATGATGGAAACTTTAAAAGGCCTAACAGAAAGTCTTCTGGTCACTGAGAGTGTCTGCTTCGAGGGAATATCAGGACCCTGGTCTCCTCTGCTCTCTGTCTTTTCTCCAGTTTAAAATGTCAGTGTTCGTATGATTGTTACATGTAGACTTTACTAGAAACCAAAGTAATGAAGACTACTCCATCTTGAACTTAAACCTCCAAAACTGTGAGCAAAATATATTTTTTTCTCTTTATGATATAAGTTAACTTGCACATTTTATAGTATTGCAAACTGGGTAATAATGCAAATTTGAGTAATACAAAAAAATCAGTACTGGACATATGGATTGCTCTATAACTGTACCTGAAAATGTATAGGCAGCATTCAAACTGGCTGACTGGCAAAGGCTGGAAGAATTTGGAGGAGCAGGTTAGAAAATGCATACAGTGTTCTTAAATAGATCATTACTGGGTCATGGTGGCTTCTATCTAGATTTCAAACTAAAGACTGAGAAGCCATTTCCTGTAGACTTGATGCCCCTGCAGGGAGTACTGTTGAGCTGATACCTTGGTGAGTTGTAGGACTGAACACAAATGGAGAGTCCAAGAAAGTGAATCAGTACCCACTAAGGAAAGCTGCAGATAGCATGCCATGGAAGCCACGGAAAGCTGCAAGCATCAGTGGGCACATAGATCAGCAAGGCCATAGGCCAAGAGGTACCCAAAATCTTGAGGGCCCAACTTTTTCCCGCAAGATGCAGGCTTTGATTAGGATTTAATATCGGCCCTGCTGGATTTGGGTCTTGCCTTAGGCAAATTACTTCATTCTACTTCCCTGTTTCCTCCTCTGAAAATGGAATGCTTACCCAGTGCTGGTGCTGCCACTATTATCTTGGAAGCATATAATTTGTTCTTTATTGTACAGGGACTCCTAGGTGGAGGAATTTGCCTTGAGGTTTTGGTGACAGTTTGGATTTTTGAGTTAAGGTTGGCTGAGTTAAGACTTCAGGATTATTGGGGATACAATGTTCCCATGCTGAAGGGGGTGGGGTAAGGGACACAATGCTATGGTTTAAATATCACTCTGAGCTCCTGAGAAGTTTAACTCCAAAAGTTTTGTATTGATGGTATTAGGGAGGCAGAAATTGAATCTAGCTATGGTGCTTAAAGGTGGGGCCCTTGGGAAGTATTAAATTAGACATAATCATCAGAGTGGGCCCCAAGATTACATCCTGGTGACTTTATAAGGAGACGGCAAGAAACTACAGGGACAGAGACACACATGCTCTCCCTCCATGATGTGATGTAACCATGAAAAACCCTCACTCGATCCTGAGCCTTGTTGTCTGGACTTCTAGCTCCAAGACTCTGAGCTAAACAAACCTCTCTTCTTTTCTTTATAGTCTGTCTTACATATTCTTTATTATAATTAAAAGCCAATTAATATATTAGCTGAAGTACAATTGCAATTTTTGGCTATAGAATGAATAAATAAATGTTAAGATCGAACCTCACTTTGCCAATAGTGTTAACTAGTCCAAGAATATACAGAAAGTAGCAGCCCATGGGAAATAGTTTAGAGCAACTGGGTACAAGCAGAACAGAAACAGAAACAGAAAACAGTAAAGAAAAAACAGTATTCTCAAAAAATACCAACAACCCTAACAAAGGCTACTACAAATACAAGAAAAAACTCCTAAGACCCAAGTCAAAACAAGTCAGTATAAGTAGCCTAAAACCAAATCACACAGTTTCTCTCTGAAAATGGCCTAACTGTAATATGTCATAAGTAACCAACTCAAAACCTTAATATGATACTTACATCAGAATTAAAACGACTAATATAGCGCTCTGGATATTTGTCATACTCTACAGGATCATATACACCATCTGTTTTCCTGACAAGATGATGATGGCGACTTAACACTGTCCCATACACTTTTCTGAGGTCTTAAGAAAAAAATGAAATCAGTAAATTGGGTGAAAAACAATAGACTTATAGTGATAAAATATTAGAATAAAAGACTGCTCAAAACAGGAAAACATACAACCTTTTCCACCTCTTACCTCCAGTTTTGGAAACTTCTTTTAATTCATGAGGTTCCACATATTCACAGGGTAGTTGGTTAAAGACTTCTTGGGCTCCCTGTAAGTATTACATGAGTAAAAATCTAAAAATCAATAGGAAAAGACCCACTGCAGTTTCCTGTAATATTTCAATTATTTTCTCCACAATTATACAATTCCACTTCCCCTATCATGTGGCCAGGACTAAAGACCAGAAGTACAGCTGATTTCCTGCATACAGCCTGCAAACTGGCTTTGATTCCAGTGTTAAAACACACTTTAGAATCAGCTTTGACCTTAATTTTTTACTTTACGCAGAATAGCAACAAGATATTGTTAAAATGTGGATATGTTTCTATTCACTTTTTAAGCCATTGCAGAAATTATTTCAAAAGAAAAACCTGTACAGAAGAAAAAAATCAGATGCCTATCTCACAGGATAATATTAACAGAGATGTCCTATTTGGACAATATTTTTCTTTAACAACTATTTTTCAATTTAAAGTGTATCTGGGAGATTACAAAAGCATTCTCAAAACCACCCAGGTAAAAGTATTAATTACAATCCTAAATTAATCTCCCTAAAATCTTGCTGGCAAAAGCCCAGGCACTCTTGAATATTTTGGAGTTACTTCCAGACCTCTGGACATTGAAGTGAAGAAGGGAGAACTCTAGAATCACAGGTTTACTCCTTCAAAATGAATTAAGGAAGGAAAGAAGAAGGGATGAAAATAGGAAGGAAGTGTTATGATTGATGCATTGTGTCAACCTGAAAGCGACTCAGCAGGGAGTCAGCGGGCTTACTTTATAAACATCCTCAGCCTGTGCAAGCGGAGACCCTGGAGATGGTGTGAGCACGGCACCCACCCTGGGGGGTAGTAGTCTGCTTACAATATAAAGGAGGAGAAGAGGCTTGTTCTCCACCCCCACTTTTTGCTCTTGTTTTGCTGTGTCTTCTACCCCCTTGAAGTGAGGCCTCCCCACCAAGCCACCCTGCTTTGGAGCCAGCTGATTATGAACTGAAATTTCCACTAAATAAATCTTTTTTTCCTTGATTTGGAGCATCAGACATATTATCTCAGCAACAAGAGAAAAGTAACCAAGACAGGAAAGAAGGAAGGTAGAAGAAAGGAATGAAGGAAGGCAAGAAATAAAGGAAGGAAATTTCAAACCTCTGATAGCTTGGAATCAACTAAAAGTGAGAAATATTTGGATCACTATTGCTTTCTGCTATAAGAAAATACATAAATTGCCAAAAATAGAATGCCCATTCTTTCTATTTGAAGTAGCTACAAAATGTCCACATCTTCAGGTTTTCAGATTGTTTTGCAGAAGGAAGACAGGAAAACTTTACCTTAGATACATTACCAGTCCCTGTGAACACAAATGTTAAGGGCCCTATAGATTTTGGCATTAAACCCAGAGATATTTCATAGCCGGCATCACGGACAGCTTGGATAGCCTGGCTGCTATTCCTATAGTTATGTGCCATTCCAAGGTGCTGAAAGCAAGCAAGCACACATAGTTCAAGTTAGTCCACTACCCGAGACTTCTTTTTTCCCATTCGTAATGTGTGGTATGTATTTTAAACAAAGGAAATATCTCTTACCATAAAAGGTGTGTGATGTCCCAAAGCAAGGAGCCTTAAACCCATTCCATGTAGAATGTTGATCATCCCTAGCACAGTCAGAAGAATGCAAAGACTATTAGTTGAGTGCAGGTGAGTATCAATGTACAAAATAAATTCAATTCCCAGACATCGATCAAGAAACGTTATCAGTTGTCCTCCTCGATCATTTTTCTACCTGTTTAGTGCCCTGAGGAAACACAGACCACAATGTCTCAGAGTTGGAAGGGGTCTCAGTAGATCTTTTAGCTTTTACTACCCGGCATCAAATGGCCTTAATCTAGATGCATCCCCACCTCCCATCCCACTTTGGATCCATCGTATTGTCTAACGTTAAGTTCTTCACCTTGGCTATATATTCTCTCCTTTGCTGCCTTTCTATGGAATTAATTCTTGAATCATTCCTATACTATCTCTCTCTATTGGTTTATTTTTATCAGTAGTTATAGATGCACCCATAATTCCCATACCAAAAACACACCAGCAAACAAAGTTACCAGTGACCCTAGAGCCCTCTCCAGCTATTTAGTGACCTGAATCATTGTTGGACACTGCAGATCTCAAGTTATGAGAAGTAACTGACAATACAGAATTCATGCTTGGTGAAACATTCTCTTCCCTCAACATCCTGGATTTGAAAGATTCCATTTTACCTTTTTATAGTCTCCTCTTTCTAGTCATTTCTTTCATATTACTCTTTTAGAGTTCTATCTTGGGCTGTATTCATATCTATATTTTAGGAAATCTTATCCAGTCATAAATTTCAAGTACTCTTTGTATGCAAATGACCCCAAGTCTACCTTCAACTCAGATATTTTTCCTTTGATTTCAAGACCTAGCGAGTTATCTGAAGTGAGTCTTATGTTGGACATCCTCCAGATACCTAAAAATGTAGCATCCCACCAAAGAGTTCAGCATGTAATCTCCTCTTTTATGGACTAAAACTTTCCATGCCACATTCCCTTACCACACACACACATTCCTATCACATTTTCTGTTACCCTTCTCAAGTTAACTTTTAAAGAAACATAGATATAGATATAGATATAGATATAGATATAGATATAGATATAGATATAGATAAATATCCCAATTTAAAGTACAGAGTTTGATAACTATAAAGGAAAATGAAGAACAGGTTAATAAATTTGAGAACTTATATGAACTAAACAAATCCTTGAAATATACAAATACAAAAACTACTGCAAAAAGAAATTTAAAAAAGTAAATACTGATGTATAAAATAAATTCTACTTATAGTCATTTACCAAGGGGAATGCAATATTTTATATAAAGAATTTTTATAACAGTTTCATTTATAATAGTCTGAAACAACACAAAAGTACATCAGGAGAGAAATGGATATATCGTGCTATAAACATAAGATGGAAAATTCTTAAGTAACAAAAAAAGGAAGTTGTGATACAAATGTCAAACAAATTTTGCTGAATGAATTTATTTCTAATGTCCTTATTCTCTCCAAACTCTCATCTGATAGATCATGTGAAGAATAGTCAACTGAGGTCTTCTATCACTATTCCCTACTAAGAAATTTAATTTTCTCTTACTTTAACAGAACTGATAGGTGTGTTGAGAAGGGAAAGGTATAAGTAAGGACTGAAATAGGGAAAAAAATGTGTTATGGCTTAGACCTAAAATGTCCCTCCAAAGTCTTCTGTTTGGCAGATGCCTGGATCATGGGGACACTGTACTCATCAGTAAATTCAACCATGATGAATTTAATAGTTCATGTGCTGTTAGGAGCTGGGGCCTTCCGAACATGCTGAAGCTATTACCTGAAAGAGTGCACTCTTGTCCCCAGCTCCTCTCTCCTTCTCTCTGCTTCCTGGCTGCTGTAAGGTCAGCAGCTTTCCTCCACCATACACTTCTATCATGTCTCTGCCCTGGAATCAATGGAAACCACGGACTGAATCCCCTGACACATGAGCCAAATTAAAGCTCTCTTCCTTTAGGTTCTGGATGTCAGGAATTGTGTCCCAGCAATAGGAAAGCTGATTAATATACAACAAATTTGTTTTGTTTGTTTGTTTATTTGGGTTTTTTTTTTTTTTTTTTTTTTGTATCAGGGATTGAACTCACAACCTCAGGCTTGCTAGGCAGGCACTTAGGTCACTGAGCTAAATTACCAGCCCCCCACAACAAACTAGTTTTAAGTAAAAAGAATTCTGTAATTTTCAAGCTTAATTATTTTACTATTTCCAAAGCAGATTAGATATACTAAGAGGATAAAATTTAGGAATTTTCTGAAAATATTCACCTCTAAAACAATATAGCATTTTAAATTTGTTCTAATGTCTATTTGTTGTATGGTAGATAATGTTATTTGTACAAGGATTTGTAAAAAGATTTCAACTGTTAAATTTGTACATCTAAATAATGTGAAGATGTAATTTAATAAAAATATACCTTAAAGAGGCAAAGGCAGACTGGTCAAAATGAAATCAGTCACACAAGACACAGGGAGGAACCTTCCACTTTTTTGTAACACGCTCAAACATTGCCCAAGTCCTGAATTTCCTTATTAGATCTTCTAGTCTGATACAAATCCAAAATATACTTTCAGTATTTCCCAAGTGAAGAAGTTTCAAGGTACCAACTAAGGCAAAAGTAGATGAGAAATTACTTTTCTCACGCCAGCCCTTGTCCTTTCTGGAAGGCTCTTCTGTCTGTTCTCCTGTACCTTTCACTCTGTTTCCTTACTTTCTATTTTCCAATGTTGCATCACCAAATGGATCTCTTTCTAGCCTTCCAAACAGAGCTATCCAAAAAGTCAAAGCCTATTTCTGGATGTTACCTTTCTCTCTGCTTTCCATTTATTTTTGGTCTTTTTAGTAAAGCATGTTAATAATTTATCTCCTTCCTCAATTCCTGCAATATGCATTAGTATTCACTCATATTTTTATTTGATTAGTGGAAATAAATACTCCCATCCCCTTGTCAGAGAAAAGAGAAAACACACAACAAATTTAGTCAGTAACATAAAAGCCCTGACATACCGACCTGCCACACCTGCCCACTGTCCAAATGCCACTACTCGCGATCCTCTATGATCCACCATTTTCTCATAATCAATAAGCCGAATTTCCTGAAGAAATGACAAAAAAAATTTCTCGACCAGATTTATTCAAGTCAACTGCAATATGTAAAGCACATATATGAACATGCAAGTATTTTGCATTTTTTCTCTAAAGAATATATCTTCACTTGATCACCGAAGTTACCATCAGATGCATCAAGAAATATTTAAAAAACACCAGGTCACAAACTAATCACTAATTTAATTTTAATTAGGGTTGGAAAGTGGACCCAGTGGGTGCTAATGACCCTAGATGCTAGGCAATGAAATAATGAAAGCAGGATTATTTTTTCACTTTTTGACATTCATACCCCAAACTGTCCTACTCCAACTACAAATATATGTATAGCCCCACTTATCTTCCATTATTCCTTCTGCCTCGAAGAAAAAAGATTCTTCCTAAGAGTAATTCCTGTGCACGAACTGCACTTTTATCCATGCCCCCAAGACCACTGTTTTGAACTATTCTCTCTTCCCTGGATCATTCCCCTTCATACTGCCGCTCAGTCATTCTAGATAACATAAGGGCCTTCTACCTGAAAAGCTGTGACCACTCAACACTTCCAAGTTCACGCACAGATCTCTGTCTCTCCTTATCTATGTGTCTGTCTCTGTCTATCACTCTATCTGTCTAACTCTGTCTCTCTGTGTCTCTCTTCTCTTCTCCCTTCCTCCTCTTCATTTTTCTTCTATCCTTCTGCAGGTAAGCTTTATTTTAAAAAGTAGTGCAGACTTTTAAAATTTATTTTCCTCACATTTGCTGAAAGTACCTTCTTCCTCTTTCCTCATTATTATTTTATGCATGAAAGTGACTGGTACATAGTAATTACAGAGTACTGTAGTCAGTCATTTTTATTGCCTCAGAGATCATACAATTTAAGGTCTGCAGAACACAGAACTTTTACCGAGCATCCACAAGGCCCTTAGTTTCATCCCTAGCACTACAAAATAAATACAATTTTTACCATGCATATGAGTTTAAGAATACTTAACACATATCTAACTTCGAGTAACTGATTATAAAATTCAGCCAGAAAGTATTCCTATTGGTTCTGCTTTGATTCATTTTCTATGATGAACAAAATTTCATGATAAAAAGTCTCCAAAATACTTTCTGAATAGCTTATTTTCTTAAAGTAAAATATTATTCTGAAATGAATTTCATCAATTACTTTTGAATCTGCTCTTTTGAAACAGTGAAAATTAACTTCAGTCCAGCTCTAGTGTGTGCTTTTATATAAAACACATTTGTCCCAACTTTCATTGTTTGTGAACTCATATCTTTTGCACTGTTTCTAGTCTCTAGTCTATTTCCAGTGTTCTAACATCCTTTGTCTAGGATCCAGAGCTCAGAAAACTTGAACTGTGGATAACATCTCGTCCTTGAAACCACCCAATGTGTATCAGAAGAGCTGCCTCCTGAGCTGCAGTCCACTGCCCACATATCTACCAGCCCACTTAGCGTCCCCCTGGAAATATGTAACAGCATAAACAGGCCTCAGCCTTAACCTTCCCACCCAAGTCTGCTGTCCTCACAACAGCACTATCTCAAATTGCAGTTACGCAGGCCAAGACTAGTCACGTCTGACTCCTCCCCTCATCTCATACTCCACCTGCACCTCACCAGTGATTTTTTTAGGATTCCCACATAAAATGCACCCAGGACTATTCACATGTCATAATCACCACTTCTGGGTGCAAGCTATATCATTTGAGGTCCACAGTCAAAACTATCCTAGACTAACAATCTCCTAATCAGTTTTACTTTCCTTCAACTTTCAACTAATGATGCTCACAGAAGGCAGAATAAGTTCTGTGGCACATGATCAGTTCTTGGTACCCACTCAAAAAGAATCTTCTCAGGTCTTTGCATCACTCCTCTCCCTGCTGGGAAGATTCTTGCCAAGTGGGCATGCTTAATCCCTCATCTCCATCAATGCTTCTAGACCATACCTTCACAGTGAGGTAAATCTGCACTGTCACTCTCCCCATCGCCCACATTCCATCTCATCTCCCACATTATATTTGTCTCCATTACTCAGATTACCAAAGGATATATGTCTTATTTATTTATCCTGTCTTGTCCCACTATAACGTAGATGCTAGGAACACAAGGATCACTGACTATTTTGCTTTTCCATTACAGTGAATAATGTCAGAGACATTATAAACACTCTGTAGGTATTTGTTAAATAAATATTCTGTACTTTAAGGAGCTGCTAGTTTTTCAACAGTATTTACATCTCACATACACCTCTTTCCTCTTGTGAATATTAGTAAATGTAAGAAGCATCTGCAGCCTAGTTCTGGTACCACAGAGCTGTGTGCACTCAGTCAAGTTATTTCACCCCAGCCCCATCTGAAAAGTACATGTGAAGAAATGTGACCTATAAAGCTCTCAGCTCTAATATTCCATTTGGTAGCATCTTTGCTAATTGGTCTTATGAACTCTAATTGAGAAAAAAGCTTTTGTAATTTCATCTTTTTCGAATAAAAAAGGAATGAAAGTATCTGGTTCCTCTTACTACAAACTCCACGTCTATACAGTAGAGGAGCCAGGAAGAGGAGCAGAGCTATTCAAACACTACCTTAGGTATCACCTCTCATCCTGAGGTGAGCAGGGTAACACATCTGCTGGATATCAAAAGAAAACTAACACTCCACTTCGGAGGAAAACAACTAATTTCCTCCTTCAATGTTTATGAATATTGCTCTCAAATTACCTGTTTTAGAATCTCATCCAGCAACTGCATATTGGCCTCCTGTGCTTTGATTGTGTGGGAGAAGAATGCGTAAGTCTTCTTGGACATTAATTTTTCCTCTGGTGGTCTTTTAACTCCCAAAATTAGACAAGCTTCAGATATGTCCTCCTGAAGAATGCCACCAGCTTTGACATATTCCTGGGAATGCAATTTTGGTTAACAGTTATGCCCCCTGGCTTGTAGTGTTCTTATTTGCTCTAACAAAAAGTATATCAAATAAAGGCACAAAGTTTGAAGAAATAACATGTGTATGGTTTAAAACAAACAATAAAGTAGCTACTTTTAATATCTCTACTCCCTGACCAAAGATAAACCTATTGTGTTTCACTTTTGTAACAAAAAAATTAGACAATGCAGTGCATATTCCTATTTAGGAATATAATTTGATCACAACCACTAGCATCTACGGCTTAAGCATACTTATGAGATGTAAATCTTGTATCAATAAAAATCCCAGGGGCTGAGGATTTAGCTCAGCAGCATAAGCACCTGCCTTGCAAGCAGGCAGTCATGAGTTCGATCCCTGGTACCGATAAAAAACGAAAAAGACCAAAAAAAAAAAAAAAAAAAAAATCCCAAACATCAAATGTCAAGGAGTCATTTGTTATTCACTTGTATTTTCAAAAGATATGATATTTTACCAATATTATTTTGCATTTTTGGTTCAATTAATATTTATTTCTGTTTTAGTCTGGAAAGTGGATTGTGCATGCGATGACAAAGAAGGAACTCACAAAAATACAATAAAAAATCAGCAGCACAGTAAATAAGGCCAAATTCAAAAGAATTATGATCATCAAGATCTAAGGGACATATTAGTTTAATTGTGAGATAATTCTCAGATGGAATGCTTAAAGAATTATGGAAGTGTAGATTAATTTAACAGGTGGTAGATTTGCAAGAAGACTGGAAATACAGGTGGTATTATTAGCAACAGGTGTTGAAAGCATATACACAAATGTGGAAGTAAGAAAGAGAAGAGATGCCTAGGACATTCAGATAAGTCAATTTGGAGAAGTAGTGTGAAGGCATTATGGCTAATTTGAGCTCAATTGGACAATAAGTAATAATAATTTATATATATTAATAAATTACTATGCAGTTTGCTGAGCTCTATGTGTGAATCATCTCATTTAATGCTCATTAAACTTTCATGATGCAGGTAAAATTATTTTTCCCATTTTATGCATGGAAAACTTAAAACTTACAAATTTAATGGAGATGCCCTAGTTAGTACATGCAAGCAATTTATAGTCATATAAGATCTTTAAATAAACACTGGCACAATCCAAGTATTTAAAAGGCATTTATGATAGTACTTAAAAATAAGTAAGTATTTTAAGTTTAGTTAGGAATAGACATCAATGTTTAGATACATAGGAGAATAAACATAGTTTTTATCTGGCTTCCTGGAAAAGTCCGTTTGCCCAATCATAGCAATCTGGCTAAATAAATCATGGTGAATCTTTGTAATGCAGGTTTAACCCACAGTCATAACTAGGATAAGACAGACCCTTTTGAAATGACATAAAATTATGTCATTTTTTTAATGTTCATTTTTTTGTTTTGTTTTGTTTTTTGGTTCTGGGGATTGAACTCACAACCTTGTGCTAGCCAGGCAGGCACCACTGAGCTAAATCCCTGGCCATATGTTGTTCATTTTAAAAAGTAAGGTACAAGAGACTACATATAGAATGTAATCTGTATAAAAACAAACAGAAAATAAAATATACATACACATACTACAGCAAATAGAAATACCAAATCAACACTCAGGCTCTTGAGGCAGATATGTTTATATTGACAGGTACTGATTGGTCTCATTCTCAAAATATCAGGCCTTGATCTCTGATGGTCTAGGGCTTATATGGGATAAGCAAACAGGAAGTACAGAGGTAGAATGGTTTGTCAGTCAGGGACTGGTTCTTACAATAGGCATGGCAGTTACCAGCTATTCATCACAGTGATCAGCTGTTTCTAAGAAACAAAAGTAACAGAAACTGTAACCAGAACTATTAACAGGACAACTAACAAAGTGAAACATACTGGCTGGGGGGGTGGCCATCTTCTGCTACAATACAAATACACACAGGCTATTATTTTTGCAAAAAGAAGCAAGAATGATAAATCACAAACTGTAGGCTGCAGAAACCTTTGAGGTAGATGTGAATGGGATGCATGAAAACAAAATGAAGGTGAGACAATCCAGGAAATTGGTAAATGAAATACCTATTAAAAAAAAAAGTAAACCAAGAGATTTAAAAACAAACAAAATTTTACAGAAATGGTATTATAAGAATTTATATGAATATAAGATTGATAATATTTACCATATAGGAAAAAATCAAATAAACTGGTAAACACAATGTTTTAATTTTCTTTTTGAGCTACAATATATTCTAAGGGCAAAAATAAACACTTCAAAGAAATACCAAACTTCATGTATTGAGCTTATTGTTAATAATAATAATAATAGTTATTCTTATGAAGAGTTATGATTTTTACAATTGACTAAGACAAAAGCAATCCCTTACTTAAAAGTAAGAAAACCTTGAACTTTTAAATTTTAATTGAAAATAGTATTAATTGATGATTAAAATGTATGTGTGTGTTTGCCTCCATTTGTTGTTTATTTGAGAGGATTATTTGTGTCTTTGTTTTGTTTTTGGGGCACTCAGGACTGAACCTAGGGACTCATACATACTAGACAAGCACTGAGCTATGACCCCTGAACTATCTATCTATCTGTCTATCTGTCTATCTACCTACCTATATCTTGAGATACAATCTTGCTAAATTGCCTGGACTGGACTACAATTTATAATCCTCTCGCTTCAGCTTCTCTTATAGCTAGGATTTCTGGAATATGCCACCACACCTGGCTTTCTGCTTCTATTTGTTGCTAAACTCTGTGTCCTGAAAGAGGTAATAATCTCAAAAACAAATAAACACATCTAAAAATAGACACAAGATCTTGTTTTCTATATACCAAAAGAAATTGTTACAGTTGATACATGTCAACCTGAGAAGTTCTGATGTTTAACTAAGAGACTCTGCAGGGAGCCAGGGTTCTTACTTTGTTAATACATCCTATTCCTGTGCAAGAGGACAGCAAGGAGATTTTGGGTGTACTACAATCCCCCTGGAGCAGGGTGGGGTGGGGGTGGCCTGTGTAAGGGAGGAAGAGTTTGTTTTTCCCCATTTTGTTCTGGTTGCTTTTACTGGCTGCTGCCTTGAAGTGTTGCCCCAATGCCATGCTATTCTGCCTTGGAGCAGGTTGATTATGGACTGAAACCTCCATCAATAGTCAGCTACCTAAAGCTTTCCTCTCTTCATTTTGGGTGTTGAGTATTTTGTCCCAGCAATGAGAGAAAAGTAACCAAGACAGAAATCAAAGTTTCTTGGTGAAATTAATTTCAGGTATGAGGCATAAAAAGTATAAGTGAGATGAAGATAATATATTATTCCAGGAAACTGAAAAATTTGAAGATAAATGAGTTAATTTTGAAAGACTACAGGAGTCTTCTCTAAAAGGGATTCTCATTAAACAAATTTGAGATAATTAGGACATTTAAAAGTAATGTTTAATAGGTTGAATGAAAATGATCCATTTTCCCATAAATGGTACTCGAAAGAGCCAAAGAAAAGGGTAATACAATAGGAAGAGGTTTTCCTAAACAAGAATGTCAGCAAACTCAGTAGTGATGAAATCAGAAAACCATCATTCTGCCAACTGCCATATAAAAACTAATTCATTTGGGATCCCTTCTGTCTCTCAGGAGCTATTCCTAGCCCTCATTTCCCACTCTCCATTCCTTTTCCCCAGTTCTTTTCTCCAATAAATTTTCCTACTCTTAAACTCTATTGTTTCTTAGAATTCATTCTTTGACTTCAGGGAACACGAACTCAGCATATTTGACACCTAGCATTCCCCAGAGGTCATCTTGGAGGCCCCAGCAAAATTGGAAGGAGGTTAAGAGTTTAATTTTGTTTCACGAAACCTCTAAAATATTTTGATCATATTCTGACCTATGTTGTACCCACCTTGTGATTTTGCTCTGTGAAATTTCCTTTGAGGGGTAGGCTCATTGGAAACTCACTCGGGACACTCCTGTCTCTCAGAACCTATTCCTCTTCCCCATTCCTATTCCCCATTCCTTTTCTCCAATAAATTTTCCACTATTCATTTCCAAAAAACAAACAAATAAACAAAACTTATCCAGGAAACAGGAAAAGACTATCAATGAATGTTCCCATTATTAGTTGAACCATTGTTAAAGAACAAAAACATTACAGGTCCCACAATGTCACTCCACTGATGATTCTGTAATTACAAAGGAAGAAAGGTACTTTCTCAGTGGACAGTTTTAGTGGTAACAACCTCATCAGATTGTAAATTCCTAGCTATGAGACAACTTGATTTTATACTCCTGATAGGATGCAAAGGGAAACACATACATCATTTTTATTTGTTTCAAAAACTTTTAGCCTGAATCTTATCACTAGGAAACAACCAGAAGGTCCTACCTAGGAACAGAACACTCTACCACCAGTTTATTCTCCTCAGAAAGAGTCAACATCATTAAAACAAAATCAGAGATGGAGGTGCAGCTCTAAATCAGAAGAACAAAATAAATATAAGAATAAAATGTGATGAAACTTAGTTAAGCCTCAATTAAACTAAAAAACATTTGAGGCAATGGGGAATTTGAACAAAGCCTGTAATGAGATAATGTCATGGAATTACTAATTTCTTGATTGTGAAAATAATATATGGTATATATAGGCAAATGATGCAATTCTAGGATTTGCATGTGGAAGTATCTAGTACTAAAGTATGAAAATATCTATATGTTACATTCAAATGATTCAGGAAAGTACAAGTATATGCATACATGTACATTTCTGAAATGAGAATAAAAATCTAACCCATGTTATAAAATTATTGTGAAAAGTACAGAATGATGAAGGAAAATAGATTCTCAAAGTGGCTGGCCAGGTTTATTCTGTGAATAAACTACACAAAGAAACATTCTCTGGATGCAAGAATGGTATTTTTTAATTAATTAATTGTATTGGTAAGTTTTAGATATAGATAATCGATCTTAATTGACCTTTGTCTTCCTAGTCCCAGGGCTAAAGCTAAACATGAAGGAAAGAATGTCTGAAACATATGAACTTTCTGAACTAGATCCTTTACCTCTTATCTGGTGAAAGTGTGGAATGGGGTAAAGATAACACTCAAGCAAAGTCAAAGAATTGAAATGACACTGTTATGTTTTATTTTCACCCATATACTTAATTTTCATATGCAAGTTCATTGTATTTGCACTAGTTTTAAAAATTGGAAATAATCACCTTATCATGAATGGCCCGCCGATTAGAAGGCTGTATCAAGACCTTGTATCCCAGATTGGTGATCCCTTTGATGTGCCGGGGTGCCAGAGGTGCCCTTCTCTCCCAGGCATTGACATCCTCTCGCCTAAGGGCCATCACAGCTTTGTGGTGGAGACCTTTGGAGAGGCTGAGACCCGGCCTGCCCAGTCTTATCCTCTGTACTCGCAGCATCTTGAAACCTGGTGACTGAAAAGTAAGATGGGACAAAAAGACAACAAAAGCAGGAGGGCTCGCAGATCAGTTCTGGTCTCCTTAGAAATCTGCTGTAAAATGCAACCAGCCTAAACAGTGCCAGATAAAAGATAAGCAGGAAGGGAAGGGAAAACTTCAATAGGAAATGTCCCTTTACTCAACTCAAGTTTCCCAAAATGAGGTTATTTAATTTCAAAAAAAAATATTGAACAATTTATGTAACACTAACCAAAAACTACCAAGTTAATATAACGTTTACAATACTCATTTTGTCTAGCATGCTTCCAGCACAGAGCTGTTAAAAAAAAAAAAAAATTAACAGAAAGCAACCCTTATAGACTAGTCCAACTTTTAGGGCCCAGAGCTCTATATTCTTACGATTTACAGAATTTTCACCATTGAGAAGCCTGTAGCTTCATCACTATTTCCTAATTCCGCAATACTCTCAGTGTGTTCTGCCACCTAATGGCAGTTGTTGAGCTGTTCGTTTGCTTTTGTGGTTTGGTTTGGTTTACTGGCCCATGATAAGATGCATGAAGACATAGAAAGTAAGAATTTTCTAGTCTTTGATTCTTTTACAAAAACCGCAGGTCCTCAACAGACTGTAATTTAAGAAAACCAACCAAGCCTGTTTCTTCACATAAGTTTTAGAAGTTTAAGAAGCACACCTTGAACCATTTTAATGGTTCTGCCCCATTTTAACCTTCCCCAACACCTCCTGTGCTGGTCGTCCTCATCGCTCATACTTTCTTCTCCTTCCTTTCTTTCTTCTCCTTGTCTTGCAGCCATTTGTTCTAACCCAAGCCTGTCTCAGCAGGTTTTCTAACTACTATTCCTGGTTGCAAAACAACTATTTAGTAAATCAAAACAATTTACAAAACACTCTGTCTTAGAGTAAATTTTACATAAGTTTTCATATATAAAGAGTTAGATCTAACAGTATTTATTCTCTCTCTTTAAATGGTTGAGTATATTTGTTGGACAAATCACTGCTGACGATAATTTGCTGGATCATTTGGAAGCTAAAACTTACTTTTTTGGTCAGCAGCAAAATACAAGGACTAACTACATAGCCTCTAGAAATCCCTAACCATGCTCTTATACCCAAACCATTATTGCTACCTTAGAGCAATACTTTTATAAAACATATTTCTGTTACATTAGACATCAATCTTTAAAGAGCACCTGCTTAACAGATGGAAAAGCTTTGAACAAACGCATGAGCATACTTTTCCTAGAGGCAAAAAGCTACTCACTACCTCTAAATGCTAAGTTTATAGGACTCTTCATAACACATTCAGAGAACAGAGCAAACCACAAGGAGTCCAGCTAAGGCTTTATGTAGAAGAGGTTCAAAAAGAGATAAAGTTGTACACAGCAAGAGAAATTACTGATGGTTACTACAGGCTTTGACCTAGGGCAAAAACTACCTAGTTTTTCACCAAAATAGGTCATTAACATTTCACTAAAATACACTGTATCCAACTGCAGGGGGGTAACCATATGTAGTATATTTTTTTTTTCCCATCAGAGACTTTGTTAAACTCAAGACCAATCCCATAACATTTTGTTTCCTAAGCCAAATGGAACCTGGAATATTCTATAAAATTTGATTAAATCCGTTTGTTCCCAAATATAGCAAAAGCAATTCCACAGAGAGTGATTCTTTTGAACACATATATGCCCAGAATTAGTGCCATCATCCCACCACGAGCTGTATTTCCTGGACTCACACATGATTAAAGGTCCTGCATCTTCTCTTCTGAGTATAGTTCTTGGCCTTAAATGTAGCACATGTTCAGATAATTGGGTATCCCATCCCTCTTCAAGCTGAACTATATCCAAAAGCCATCCTTTACTTACTGACAACTCCCCATCTCCACCTTTGTGTGGAGTAGAAGTGCAGGCAGCAGGAAACACATGCAGGCACACACAACATACATTTACAAAGGCAGATTTTCTAGGGGAAGTAGGAAGACACAGACAGAACTGGTAGACCGAATCAAGACTCACGGAAGTATTTTCACTTTCAGTTTTTACAAGGAATTGTAATATCACAATGTCTGCAACTTTCATTTTTAAAACAAGTGTAACAATAGTTACCACTGATTAAACTTTAGATAGCAAGAACTACGCTGAGCCCTTTACAGATATTTTCTCATTTCCTTATTGCAAAAATCTTATTCAGCAAATACTACTATCATCTCCTCTTGCCAGAGAAAAAGAGAGAGCTAAGAATAAGGACATAGGAAAATATAAGGACATAGGAAAAAACTGAACTCAGGCCTGACTGTTATTTTTAACCAGGAGGAGTGCTATGTTAATGTTTAACGCCTGGGATACTCGGGCCAGTTCGAATTTCAGGCAGAATCAGATCCATATGGCATCAACTTTGCAGTTACACTAAATTAACCTTTCTCTCCTCAGCAAGGGATTGCCTCTCTCAGTTCCTATTCCTGTTGTACCAACCATCTATCTAGAGTCCTTGCCAAAGTGAATTCTGGATTTCTGGTTTGGTTCTAACAGGTAATAACTGTTGATAACCTCTTGAACCTACAGTTCAGCATTTTTGGTTACCTAAGTTCACCATGAAAGGTAACAGTGAGGACTTCTGATTTGCACCGCAGGAGGCTGGCATTTTAATGGCTGCTTCAGCATTCCCATCCTACATTTTTTTTTTTTTTTTTGGTCTTCTTCAATAATTTCAGGAAGTAAATGCAATGTACAGATTTCTGGCAATGTCTTCAATGAATGAGGAGGGTTCTGGCCTATCCAATGGCTCCAGTGAGGTCAAGGCAAGGTGCTGAATGCTGATAACAGTGTGCAGCATGAGTACCGAGGTGGTCAAAGAGCGGAGGAGGAGAAGGGAAGAAAAAGAGAGAGCCAAGAATAAGGACACAGGAAAATATAGATCTATAGATAAGGTAGTTAAGATAGTTATACAGCTAGTTTGTCTTAGTTCATTGAAAAGAAAGGTTATGCTAATATTGTTTAGAGCAGATATCACACCTCTATCTTGCACTCTTAAATAATTATTACCAAGACAACAATATGCAACATATTAATGATTGTAATTTTCCTACTAACCTGTTTTGAAACTGAGTTTTATTATTATTATTTTCTCTTTAAAGTAAAAAAAAATGTTTTTTTAAAAATAGAATAAGAAGAGAGAGATAAAATAGAAAGGAAGGTGTCACATAAACAGAGGTGAGAAAAAAAGACACTTCTGCAAATTCTAACAATCTTTCTTTCCACCCATGAGGACCAACTTTTCAAAAATAAAAGTAATTTTTTTTTTTTTTTTTGGTACCTGGAATTGAACTCAGAATTTCGCCCTTGCCATGCAGGCACTATTCTGCTGAACTATATCCTCAGCCCTAAAATAAAAGTTGAAAGACTTCTTTTCTATGATTTTTCAAAACAAAACAGCACTGTGGTATGTACTTTTAGTTACCCTAGTTGACAGACATTCAAAATGACTCTAAAAGTCATGGAATTTTATAGTCAATTGCACAGAGATATACTAAGACAAGAAGATAATCAGTGGACTGAACCTTCAGTAACAACAAAGGGAAATTACTCTGTTGTTATATCTAGACACATCCCCCTTCGAGCCTCATTCTGTATTGGTGTGACTTTAGGGAGGGAATGGATCATGAGTGTGTGATACCATTAGTACAATGGTTCTGAGTGGGGACGATGAACTTACTGAAAAGTCCTGGGTATGGGTGACACTAATCAATAGGCTTATAGCCTGAATGGAATAAATTGGAAAGAGAAAGGAAGTCTCACCGCCTCCTGCCTGCCATGCCATGGATGTTTCTACTCTACAATGTCTGTGGCCATGTTGCCTGCCTTGGAGCCAGCTGACTACGGAATGACACCTCTACAAACTGTAAGCCAAAATAAACCTTTGCTACTTTAAATTGTAGGTGTTGAGTACTGTGTCTGAGAAATCAGCAAGTAACACATGTGTGATACATTATGGCATTTTCCCATCTCTGAGAGTAAAGGGGACTTAAGAATTTCTTTCATTACTGCTTCCCTAACTTTTCAATGCATACACAACAATCAGGGGAAAATATATGCTTAAATATTTTTTCTATTTTCTATACTTAAGAAAATGGAAAAGAAGCCATCATTATAGAGGTAGGTAGATGGATCAACAGATAGACAATAGGTATACATATCAGATATAGCTAGATAGACAAAGACATAGACAGAGTTGGCACTTCATACATACTCCACCATTTCCTTTAAGGGATCATAAACTATCCCATGGTGCTTGAATGCATAATCATTCTAAATCACATGAAGAAATCAAGGCAAGGGCTGGGGATTTAGTTCAGCAGCATAAGCGCCTGCCTTGCAAGCAAACAGTTGTGAGTTTGATCCCTGGTACCGATAAAAAGAAAAAAGACAAAAAAAAAAAAAAAAAAAAAAGAAATCAAGGCAGAGTTTGTCAGGCACATCTATAAAAGATTAAATTTGAGGAAAATTCAGCCTGAGAACAGAGGAAGTAAGACAGGTTGTCTCATAGTGAACAGGCTTGCCTTTGTACAATATATTTATTAATATAAAATAGTGAAACATTTTTTTACAATTAACGTTTACTAATATTTAAAATATATATAATACACCCAGAATACATATTTTTTTTTATTTTTGGTACCAGGAATCGAACTCATGACTTCGCACTTGCCAGGCAGGCACTTACGCCACTGAGCTAAATCCTCCATCCCAGAATAGTTTTTGATCAAGTTATCAAAATAGATTTTTCTTTTGATCATGAGGTGGATATTTTTTATTTTAATTTAGAAAACATTCTGCAGCTCCTTAAGGCATGTATACTATTATGTTAAGTGCATCAATCCTGTCCCTGCTCATTTTCATAGGGTCTTATAGGAACAGGATGGAGTAGTTTTGTTTAAATAATGTCAATCAAAAATCTGATGATTAATTTTTAACTACTGAAACTGAGAATGTGAATGGACCTGAAAGAAGGTAATCTAAAACCTCATAATACAAATAAAAATAGTGAGGCCCACAGAAATAGTTTTCTATATTACACAAAAATAATTTTACAAGTTTCTATAAATAAGTTATAACAATACAATTTGTTAGAAAAGTATAATTTTTAAATGCATCTCAACTAAAAAATTTCTCTGCTACTGTTCAGATAGTTTCTGTGCCATAAAATATTTAAATTGCACAATTTGCATGAAATAGATGAGCAGACGAAGAAACTAGTAAGTCTTCATACAGCTCTCTATTTTTCTGTCAAATATCAGAAATTCTTTAAATTTTTTCAATCCTTTCCATAGAATTAACCAGAACCTCTTTTAAATTTACAAACCAGTGTTGAACTAAACCAACATGCAAGCAAATGCAAGTGTTTAAGAATGAAATGTTCTAGGCATAACTTTTCATAATTGCCGTCACTTCCATTGGGAAACAGAGAAATATACATTTATTATTTAAGAAATTGAGGCCAAAGATTTCATGCCTAGCCACCATTGTCAAGAACATGATATTTGTCCATCTATTTGGGATCTCTAAAACGATTCCAACATAATTCAGTGAGCAAAACTGAAACTACTGGATCACACTGAGATTTCTTAATGTCAAAATATTCGTAATGATCAAGATTAATTAAATATTGTGACTACAAAAGGGTTAATGTTGACTTCAGATGAAAAAAAAATAAGTTAACTGATGAGAAAGACAAATTATATTTGCCCTTCCTATTCTTTAAAAAAATACAACTGTAATCTAAAAACCATGATTTTCCAAGAAGGCTTGCCAGATATAAATAAGCATGATCAGCTCTGTGATCATGAGTCTTGCAGTACTGCGGTACATATTTTGTATCAGACCAAAATACTCCTAGAAGCTATAAAACAGTTCCACAATGAGCATAGCCTCTGATGGTGGCCTAGAGCTAAATCAAATCCGAACTCCCAGGCTTGCTAGAACTAAGACTAGACTTGGAGCAACCGTGGCCTCCACACTTTCATTTCCTGCTGCATTGGTACACTCTATATATGCTTTTGCATTAAATCGTTTATAAAATTCCTAACCAGAGTTGTTTCTTCTTTCACTTTGGGGAAGATTTAGTAAGTGTTAATATTTATGAAATATCAGCTGCTAAAAGTCCTGCCAGGACATAAGTCTGGGGATTCCCTGGTCTCTGACAAATTTCGCTTCACTGAGGTGGAATACAAAGTCAGTTCTGAATTGAAGATCTATCCCAAGTGCTTATTTGCTTGTGTGTCTCTCTTTGCTGAACTGTGAGTAGGTAGGAATAGTGATTTAATTATTGCTGTTCCTTGTATCTGGCACACAGGAAAACCTCAAATGTTGTAAAATAGAATGAATAAATACTTTTGCACATTAGGATGACTATACATAAACACAATATACTATACATTTCAAAAAGCTAGAAGAGGACTTTAAATATTCCATCATAAAGAAAATGATAAATGTTTGAAGAGATAGACATGTGTTAACCTGATTTAAATATTTCATAATGTACATAAACTGCGCCTCATACAAAATTGAAATTATATTAATATCTACCTATCAAGGCTGTTGTTTTGAAGTTTAATTGAAATAATATGCATATAGTGCTGAGTCCAACCTTACATGCCATAAACACTCAATAAATGCTAAGAAAAGAAAAAGGCTCCAAGCCTGTCCATTCCTTAAATGTAAGCACAACCATACAACTACTAGAAAACATCACCCTCTGTTGCCTGCTGACACACTGGTGTCTCTCACTCTCTCTCTCCTCTCTCCTCTCTCTCCTTTCTCTCTCTCTCTCTCTCTCTCTCTCTCTCTCTCTCTCTCTCTCTCTCACACACACACACACACACACACACACTCACACATAGCACACTTGCATTTTTCTAAAGGAAAAAAGTGGAGCCCAGTAGCCTTCGGTTCAAATTCACTCTTCGGTATGGACATTCAAGATAAATTAATGATCAGTTTAACACTGTTTCATCAGACACACGTTTTCACATTATAACATCACTAAAACAGGGACACAGCTTACAACTGATGACATTTTACATTCAATGAAAATAGTAATATTTTCGGTTATTTTCCATTCCAAATATACAATGTATCTATGACTCAGTGAATTGCCTAATGCAATTTTGGTGCCTCCCCTAGAAAATTTACCACTGCTTATAATATTATTTCTGAGAAAAATTTAATAAAAGAAAATTTGGAAAAATGAAAATCTTTTGTTAGATAGAAACTGCTTATACATCAGGAATTGCCTCAGTAATCTTAAACTAAGAGCTGTTAGTGCTTAAAGAACTAGTCAGAAAAAAAGTTTTTTTTCAACCACAAATAAAGTTCTAATTAGACTTTCACTAATTACAAGCAAGATTAGTAAGAAAAGTATGACTTTCTGGATTAGTGGGCAACTCGACTTCAACCTTTGTCCTTCTAAGTTATTTTGCAGAACAGGAACCAGACTAGGTAGCCGGAAAATCATGGGCCTACTCTTATCTTCATGGAAAAAGGAA